ACCTTCCATATCTTCTAAATCGATTCGAAGTATCATATTGTTTTGATTGGTTAAAGCGAATATGATGTCATTTCCTAGAACATGGAATATACAAAAATATAGATGTATTATGTATGAAAAGTATCAACATTACAAGAAATATTCTGAATTCGTATTATCTGTTTTTTATTTAATAAATAGCTTTACAATAGTTTTAAAAGAAAAAATGGATTACCTAACCAAAATTCTCTAGTTAGATTTCCAAATCCAGATTTGTAACTTGTCCACGTTTGGTAAAAGTCCTCAACCGGGTCTCCAAAATCGCCTCTTCTTTGAATTAACTAATGAAATAGAGATACAATAATTTGTTATATTAAATAAACTGAACTTACATTTTAGGAAATTAATCATGTGCTCTTTTATGAGGTATGACAGAATTTTCCAATAATAATAATTAATACAAGGAAGTCTAATAAACAGAAATATTACTAGTAACATATATATATCTCAACTCAACTCAATTCTTCTGCATATCAGTGATATCATCACTCTAACAATAATGCCAAAACTTTATATACTGTTATCAAGAACAAATAGTTGAATTGTGGTTTCATGCTTACAAATGTCGTGCAACCTAGTGTTTATGTTACAAGTAAACGGTAGGAACATTATTTTACTTTTCTCTACAAATATATGTTTGCCTTCGTGATATAATAAAAAAAGAGACTTTGAAAGATATTAGAATTAACAATGTGTGTTCATATTACTATAGCCTTCATTCTTCTAGCTTAGACTGTTTTTTGTTTTGGACATTTCAAACTTCGGAGGATGGACGGTAGGTGATCCAGAAAGGCCACATTTTCTGAACCACCCAATCTCTGTATACTGTGATATGGAGACTGCAGGGAAACCAAACAAACGGCATCTTCAAGATATCCGCCATCTATCATCAAGTTAGAACTTCTTTACCGGTAGACTGTGTTTCTGATTTGTGTTGCATTGGTACAGGTGGGCGCTATGAAGTGATACACGTCGTGTTTAGAACAAATAGGGCCTGGAATAGAACACATAGTAAAGTATAATTATAAATTTGTATAAACATTCATTCAAAACTTGAAAATGCGTACCAGTATACTAAAATCAATGACAGTTATTTTCACTAACGTTATCTTACATTAATACGAAAACGTTTTTTTAAAGTAATGAGATTATAAAGGAATGTTTTACCTTCTAATGTAGTAATTCTCTGTTTAGCCAGATCTGTTAATTCTTCCACAGTAGACGACAGAGAATCGATAATTCCTTCCAGTGAACCAACAGTGTGGCGATGAACATTAGCCTGGGTTAAAAAGAAGAGAGACAAAATACATAGTAATTGAACTATATAATACATGATGTATAGGGTATACAGGTATACTGAGCTGTATTCTTCTCTGAGGATTACAGTACGTACCAAGGCTTTTATATTGTGGTTGTCAAAGCTTAAATTCCCCCTTTTTTTTGTTAGGCCCTGATTGTAGAGGTTGTTTGTTTTAGTCAGTTACAACATTAGTGTACATGTGTATAAATATAATCCTATATGCCTTCCTGTTGTAGTTTTTGTTGTTAGGGGCTGTGTGCATATGTAAAAAGAAACAATGGGTTATATGGATGATAT